TGCCTGTCAAGAAGAATCCCAGAGGCACTAAAAGGAATCAGCATCTTCTATCCCTTGTCTTCTGTGTTGAACACAGGTGATCCTGGCCAGAGCAGTAGGGAATACACATTTAGGTATGTAGGAATATGTGCCTGTAAATGTACAAGGAATTAAAATCTGAGAGAATGAGTGTGAGTAGGTAAAATAACTTTACTTAGGGATTTTTTAAAAAAATAATATCTTCCCATTCCCCAAGATCTGATTGACTTTATTACACTAATTTTTTATTACACAACTTATTTATGTAGCTCTCAACAAGAAAAGGAAAATTTATCTGAGCTACATCATCGCAGTTTAAGTGTTTCTTGCATTAACATGCAATGGTTCAAAGATCTATTTATTTTTAACATAAACCAATAGGACAAAAAAAGGCTTTAAATGCAAATTCAAGAAGAAACAAGTATAATCCACTTTTGGAAAGGAAAACAAACCAAAAACCTCTGCCATAGTTAGACATTTTCTTGTAAGCCTTTGGTAATTTCAGAAGAGCTGTGGGGAAAACTAGTTCCTTTTGATGGGTCGGTGTGGTACAACCATCCCTTCAAGTTTACGACAAGAGACTTAGCAAGTCTCTTGTTAAGTTCTGAAGCGTCGTTTGTGTTTTTAAGTATATTTTTTGCGGTAAAAGAAGAAATGAAACAGGACGCAGTTCAGATTCTCCTGTGGATTTAAACTAATTACATGTAATACTTCAACTTCGATCCTGAAAGGTGTAAACATAAAACAATAGACAAAACATTTATCCCTGGAATTACACCACATTAGAAATGTAGCAAGTGACAGCTTCCAGCCTTGCTGTTTTCCTCTTTAAATCTGTTTATTTTCTGTATTTTATTACTTTGCATAGATTATGTGGGTCTATAATCCTCATATAGGTTACATTTACCTACATTTCTATTCTGTTCCACCCTACTGACTCCTAGTAGACAGATACTCTTTCATCTTACTTGTATTACCCATACACAGAGTTCAGCCTCCTGAGCCATTTCCAATCTTAAAAACTTTTTCATTTGTCTCACCTTCTTTTCAGCCACTGGTGAGAGATAGATACCTGAAGAGCCCATCCTAAAAGAAACATCTGTGGTCAGTGGCTGGAGTTGCTTTTCGGAAGTTTTATCTCATTCTCTGCTGTGAAAGGATGCTAGCATAGACTAAATGCCTAGCCTATGGATGACTGAAGTTACAACTTGACTTTTGCCAATTGTATTTTATCGCGCTTTGATATGTTCAGATTTCTGTTCTCTTGACTTTTACAACTTCCTGATCTGAAAGTGCCTCTAAATTTGCCACCCACTTTAAGAAGTTTCATTTGTAAATGTAGTCACATTGGATAAATATCGGGCAGAGAAAGAAAGAGATGCCTCTTGCAATCTTAAGAGAGATATCAGTTTCTTTTGTCATACTCTGTGGCTAATATTCAGCACTGGTATCCTCTAAATCTTTTGATTTATTTCAGAGACAGTGGAGAGTAACTATAAACCACAGAGTTAGGTGTTTAAAGGTAGGTGATGTGATACCCTGTAAATGTTTTCATACGCCATGCGTTATACCTGGCTTGGCAGGGTAGTTGCAATTTCAAGACTTGCAACTGTTGGCAAAACCCCCAAACTTGATTGTATTTCTCTACAATATTCTTCCTGCTTTTTGATTTTTCATAAATAATATTACTTAGAGTAGCAAAAGAAATACAACCCCAGCCCAAACCCTCCCAAACCCTATGAAAAATATTACCATTGAGTGATATAGAAACATTTTCGTTTCAATTTCTCAGTAAAGTCCATTTTGCCAAAAATTAACAAACATCTGGAAGATGAAGGATCGTTCTGCACAGTATAGTCCAAGAAATATCTTTGTTTTGTTACAATCCTGTGTGATTTATCAAATACGCAAAAGACAGAAAGCTGCATGGATCAGATCACCAATAATGGAAACCAGACTTTTACCTTTAGGTTACTGGTTCCACATGTACCTATGTAGAGGAAACAAATACTGCTCATGCTCTGGGTCTGGTATGTAGTACACACGTATCTGAACTCCTACTCCATTACCAGTGTAAAAACGGCAACATCATAAATTCACTGTAATAATTTCCCTTTTTTATGACAGTCATAACTGGTGCAAGAGATGGAATTGATAATTCTAACTGTTTGGAACAGTTTCTCTAGAACCCAGATTTAGCATATTGACAAGGAAACTATGGGGAGACTTTCAATTGTGCATCTCCAAAATGAGATAACATCCTGTAATAAGAAAGAGATAACAGTCTAGAAACAGAATTACTAGAAGTTAATGCTACTTCTTTGGTACCCAACAGCTACAGTGACTAATCAACTAAGAACATCTGAGATAACATAAAGCAAATCACAAATCCCAAGGTAGTTAAGTTCCATGAAGTCTGCCCTTAAATATTCAGAGAAGTGGCCATCAGTGTAGATGACCCAACTCCCATGACAAGTGAAAGGAACTTTATCTTAGGTCTGACTCCTGTTTACAAACTGTCTTGAAAATACTTTTGTCCAGAATATTATTTTCATTAGAACTGCCACAAAAAGATGCATACAAAGCTGATAATAGGTCTCAAAATCTCTGCTTTTTGTCCCAAAATTTGGGACAGGTAATCTTAGCTGATTTCACAGAACTGGTGAAGAAGTAGACAGCATGTGCAAACACTTTAATGCAGTACTACCCTGGGTCAACAAAAGTCTGGAATGCATCTCCCTCTAGGCTTCTTCCATTTGGAGAACATCTGTCCCATTTCCTTTGTTCCCAAAGTCTTTTTTTGATTTGTCCCCAGGTCCATTCCTAGTTAAGCAGTTCCACTTTCAGTGCTGGAGATGGGAACGTTGTGTATCTGTCTGCTCAAAGGAGCAAGGTACATCCTCACTCTTACATCAACAGGTTACTTAGAGTTCAGCTGAAGTTCATTTTGCTCAACTGATCACCCTGCATATTAGTAACTGTATCAGGGCATTTTTATCCATAAATCCTACCAAGTAATAGTATCTATGCCTTATTGGAATACAGCTGCAGAATATACAGAGAACTTGAAGTGCACTCAGTCAAAATCGGAGTCTGTGAGGTTCAGAATTCTTCCTGTTTTTTCATTGCTTCTATAGTCTTTCACCTCAAAGAAACTAATCGAGGCAAAATATTTGAAGCTATGGCCACTATATAACTTAAAAAAATTTGCACATAAATTTTTGCAATTTCTGTGCAAAAAAATATATTTTAGATGGTCATTTAGGTGTTTTCAAGTAGTTCAACATCATAGTATTTAATACTGCTAGTAATGATACATAGCTACACCAAAGATCCAGGGAGTATATTATGAAGTGTAAGGGGCTTACTTACAAAATTGTAGTAAATATATTTATACAGACAAATGCACATAAGCATTTCACAAAAATATATTTAAAATCTACCCTGTCCAGAATAAAAAGAGAAAAATAACTACTTGCTGAATATTATATAGTTAAACCAAGAGATTTAAATAGTGATCAGAATATACCAAAAGCTTTGCTTGTGCTTGGTGTGTTACTTCCATTAGTTTGCATAGTCTACATAGAAAGCCTAATTTAAGAAATCCTAAACACTTTTCTAGTCTGGATGTTTTTACCTGCCTTTTACAACTAGAATTTATGAGCACTAATGTGAGTGATTTCAACAACTGGTTCTCCATGGTCACAACAAAGCCAGCAGCACCTGGGGAAGATCTCAAGAAAAGAGATTTTGGTCAGGTGAAAAACTCAGGATTCAGTAGTTTTATGCTGTGTTGTGTTTATGCTAGGTTTTGTGCTAGAAGGATGAAAATCTTTGATGAAGTATAATTTTAGGCTTCAGTGCCTTCACACTTGGGGTAAGAACACTGTGATGAAATTCCTATTTTTGGTCTTGCCTTAGGAATAGGCTAAAGAATGTCAACTGTAGCACAGTGGTGAAGCGCCCACAGGGGTGCATGTATTACTTGACTTCTACTTCAGATGTGCAAAGCTCTATAAGGACATTAGTTAATTGTCTGGGCTTTTAAAATTAAAAAAGTGCACTTTCAAATGAGGCGCTAGTATGGTCAAACAATGTTATTATACACTGGGAAATCAAGACGCAGTGGTAAAGTAACTTGCAAATGTCACTTTTGGGTGGATTCTCAGTGTCTGGGTGATTGCAGTAAAACACTATCTTTTTGCAAATGAGGGCCCCTCTTTAACAAACCTGGGAAGTCTGCAATACTCTTTATGGTATTTATGGAGTAATATAATGCAAGAAAAAGTCGACATCTTTATTTTTATCCTGAAGTTGTCCTATACAAAATAAACAGAATTAATCTTTAGAATTAAAATTAACACAATAAAATTGACTGGTTTGACAATTATGTTGAGTGGAGAACTAAAAATGTTTCTAGTTCCATGAAAGGACCTGCCAAGAAAATTGTCAAAATCACTGCCAATGTGTTAGTAAGCAGTATGAGAACTTAGACTTCATAATTCTTAGAAAATAAGGTTTTTAAAGTATGTTAGTGTTCTTAAAACAGCATCTGCACAGCTACATTGCATTTAGATTTATGCTGGGACAATCTACAATTTGGTTAAATGACTTACATTTCTTTGATGCTTCACAGCAAATTTTCATTTGTTGCACAGAATATATCATTTTTTATCACACATCTAATTTTAAATAAACATGGAAAAAGCATTATGTTAGCACATTTTCTCGCTAATAAAGTATGTACATGTATGCATACAACAAAACATTTAAAACACTGAGGTAAAAAGTAATTATGTTGGAGTTCATTAATTGTTTATACATCATCAGAATTCATTATAACTGTGGGATAAAATGCAGAACAAGCACTAAACCTCAGAACATATGTGACCTCTAGTGGGAGAATATAAGTAACTGGAAGAGAAACAGCTCTCAGTGGAAATAAGCAGTAATATTTCCTGTTCCCTCTTAATTTTCCCTAGATAGAGACTGGGACAGCACTACCTTCTATAATTCAAGAGAATTATTATTCTGCACCATTGAGTGATGAACTTGAAGAGGAAGCATCAACACCAAAATTAATTGATGGGTCTTCAGCACAGGGGTCTGGGGTTCTTGGACCCCAAACTCAAGATGGTTAGTAGGAAGAAAAATGAGTTTTGCATGTGTAGTAATGCTTTTGAGTAAGCCCACTTTGCTTGCTTATGAATGTAAAGGAGGTATATAATTTCTGTACCTCTTACTGAAGACAGATATAGCATGCCTATCTGAAATTCAATAGGCACCTAGTCAAAATGTTTTCATGCCATTTTCATGCCAAGAAAATAAACAATGAAGCTTTTTTTTAGATAAAGTTTTACTTAATGCCTACACACAATTTAAAAATTTTCTAACAATTGGCAAATGCTACAAGTATTTTTTATTTACTTGGGTTTCAATATCATTACCAACTATCTTTATTTTATAGTGATATATTACATGAATTTTATAAGTCTGTTCATACAGAATGCAATTAATATGTGGATGAATTTTTGACCATGAAAACAAGAAACTGCAAAACTTAAGGACAGGGAGCTATTTTAAAATTTTGGATGAGTCTGATTTTCTGTTCTTCTGATTAGCTGTAGTGAAATAAGTATTTTCTACACACAGAGGAATTAAAATTTTAAAATGCAATCTGTCTTTTCCCACACAAACATTGTGATGTTAATAACTGGCATTTGTTAACAGCTACTTTAAACTTGTAGTTGATGCGCACTAGGGTTATCCATAGCTGTGATGGGCCTTTGTGTTTTATGGTGACGAACATACAACAGGAAAATCCTACTTTTTACTATACCAAATACTATAAATAAGTGCCACTGGTGGGAAAAAAAAAAATTAAAAAAAATCATGCTTCCAAAACTGTGTCCTTAGTGAAGATCCTAGTATTGTTTTTATACATATTGCTGGTGATCCTTGACCAGGCAAAAAACCTAAACCAAACCAAAAAATACTGATGTCAAAACAAATAAAAATGGAAACAAAAATTTGGGGAGTTCTGGAAAAAAATGCACAATTTTCTCCATTTTTGAAACCTGCAGGATGTTACAAAACATTTCAAGTATTTTACGTATCATGAATTCTGTCTCTGTCAAAATTTTTGAGCACTGGATGCAAATCAAGCAGTGCAGCAACTACAGCCATGTATGGGAGGCTCAAGGATGTAACATATCAAATCAGATCTTTTTTGTGTCTTTATTTTTTTCAGCAACATATTTTCTCATCAGATGTTGCTGCTGTTCTTGGCATGGTGCTGGATAGAAGACTACAAGGGTCAGGAACATCAAGCCAAGTTCATTTTTCTTGTTGATATCTTTCTGTATCCTCCCCATACGTCTGTCTTGTTTCAATCTACATCAGACATAAGAGACAAATAACACTCCTCCCAGACCAAAAATTGGACAGAAGAGGAAACTTTCTTCCTGTACTATGTTGCAATATTTCCAAAAAATGGCAGCTATCCTAAACTCTACATCTATTTAGGCCTAGATTTCTTGGAATGGTTCAATATATGACAGTTTATTTTCTCCCTGTGTCAGGCTTGCTCCATGTAACTAATTTAAACTCTCAAGTGGAGGAAGTTAGGGAAAATACACTAAAAATCTTATCTCTCCAATTATCCTAGATGCCAAAGTAGAGATATGTAATTATAGGAGTACTCTGGTCGCTGACTCTTTAATCTTATCTGAAAAGACCCCACATATATAACCCACCTTTCAGTTAGTTACTGCAGTCTGTTGGTAACTGACACAGTTTAAAAAGGTAAATCTTCTATGTAACAACTGATCTGGAGAAAAATGTTTTCATACTCATTAATTATGCTGCAATTTTATAAAGTAATCAGAACAACAAAGCAGCCATCAGCTACAAGGAGGAGGGAAGAATGAAACAGAAAAGCATTTCTATGGGATTAAAAGATGAGAAATAGATATGCTGATTTACACCCATAATCAAAGAAAAGATGTATCAAAAAATCATCACTCACAGCAGCTAACAACATTTCCTGAAAAAAATGCCATTTAGACAACCCAGTCAGTGTCACAATTCTCACCAAATTTGAACACTGCCATCTAAGGAAACATTTGAATTCATGGTATTCATGCAGTTTTATGACTGAGATGAAATGGATTAATTTTCATTTTCATATACTTCTAGTGGTAACGAAATGTTTTGCTAACATGGTCTCCAAGTTACATTAACTCAGACTGATAGAAAAATTTTTCATGATACTAAATTTCTGAATCAGAAAATGTAATTTAAAAATATGAAAAGGAAATTGAGATTCTTCTCCATAGCTCTGTAAGAAAATTTTAATTTCTTTACAAATTATTCGGAAATACTATTTACAGAACCAAGTTTGGGAAATCATATCAAGTTTCAGTCATTAACTGATATTTCTCCAGCTGGATGGAAGTGCACGCTTGTCAGTTAAGAGGGAAATTGATCTTGATTGGCTGCTGTCACCTAATATTCTATTTTCATAGTCTCAGAAACACTGCTCAGAACATGTTAAATGACTTTCCAATGGGCACAGGCAGAAAAAATAGTTTTAAGCAGAATTGATTCACTTCCTTGTAATTATACGATCTTGTAATCAAAACACAATAGGAGTGAATTTTATCATTAACAAAATCTTAGGATGCGCTTCGGTGAGCATTTTATTGCAGTAATTTGCATATCAATTTTGTACATCTTTTTTGTAACAAACTGTTTTCTTTCAAATTCTTTGATAGGCCTTCCTACTTGCCTTTTGTGTACATGCCTAGGAACGACAGTCTACTGTGATGATCGTGAACTTTATGCTGTTCCACCATTGCCTAAGAAAACCATGTATTTCTACTCACGCTACAACAGAATCAGAAAGATCAACAGAAATGACTTTGCTAACTTAAGTATGTATTGGTGTAATTAACTTCAATTTCTGTTATTTCTAGCTCATGCTAATCTAAGACATAGTGATTAATTTTATGTAATATTTCATCATGGTATGGAGAAGCGGCTTGCTATTTTTGAATGTAAAGGTCAATACTTCAAATGCAGATTCTCTATCAAATTTTTGAATTATTAGAGAAAACAATGTTAATCTATTTTTTTGCTCTGGATTGTAATCAGCTGTAGAAAGGTAGGAAAAAAAAGCTATATCTCAAAGAATATTTGTAGCATATAAGAAAGTGCTGTTTTCCTAAGCAAGCTCAATTCTTAAATAGACATACTTTAAATTTTTTGCAAAATATCTGTGTAAAAAACTTTTAATTTTCAATTTTACCTTTAAATTATATGTTCATTAGTTTGTTCCAGAATTATCTAAGAAAATCTTCAGTAAATGAAAACTGCTAATGCAAAACTATTTGTGGCCTAAAACTGGTGATTTAGGAGCCTTATGTTGTCACATTCACTGCTTAAGTTTCTTAAAGATACTTGATTTTTTCAGGAAGTATTAAGCCTGCCCTGTTTAGGGAGAGGGAATACTATGCACTCACCAGCTTGAATATCAAGTCATATTCTTTTAGACCTAGCTTTGTGTAAATAAATCTTATTGATTTTAGGATGAAAAGTGTGTAATCAGTGTCTAAAAAGGCTACTACAGTAACGCAGGGAAAGGCAAAGATCCTTTTATAAAAGAAAACTAGAAAGGATTGATTTGCTCAAACCAAGATGAAGGTTGGGAAGGACCATGTTTGCTGTATAAAAAAGCAAGAAGACTAAATTCTAAGAGAGAAAATTTATTTAGGCTAAAATATGCTGTTAACATAAGAAAAGAAAAAATAAAATAAAATTAAAAACATTCTGGATGGAAAATATAATTAAACAACAAGATTAATACATTTCAAATTAATGCATATTAGTGCACTGATATTTAGATGTTGTTCTCTTTTGCCAAACATCAGCTTAATTTTTCTTTCTTGATTGGAAAAAGTAAGGGTGGTTTAGAAAAAAAATCAATACATCAAATTTCTTACATAGAAGGAAACGTTGAAAATAAAGAAACATGTGAAACAAGGTGGTAGGGAATATGTTTATTTCCATTTAAATGTGTTTTTTTTTCCAAACCATAGCATTTAAATATTTCCAGAACACACAGAAATTTTAAAACTATTAACTTTAAAATCTTTCACTAGAAGATATATGATGAATAACACAGGCAGTTATACACAGCATGAGAACAAGATGTTGGTTTCCTTCTTAATAAGAACTGTTCAAATACGGATTATACATTTTATACTGAGAAAGAGAGAAAACACTATTACGCAGTGTGTTAGGAATGAGCCTGATTCAAAACACTTCACCTACAATTTAAATAACCCATTTGCCTTTTTCTGCTTTTTTCAGAAAAACTTTCAGGGAATACAATCTCACATGTCTGTTCCATTTTATTTTTCTGCCAGACAATTTAAAGAGGATTGATTTGTCTGCAAACTTTATATCAGAGATTCATGAAGATGCCTTCTGGAGGTTGCCCCAACTTCAGGAGTTGGTGCTTCGTGATAATAGGATAAGGAGACTCCCTGAATTACCATTTACCTTAACATTCATTGACGTTAGTAAGAACAGACTTGGTCGCAAAGGAATACGTAATGAGGCATTTAAAGTAAGTCCGGGTTTGATGGGAAAGACTTCTGTTCCTCTTTACGAAGGAAGTGGTCAGAAGAGCAGCCTAAGTATCCATCTACAGTAGTAAAACCATTAAGACTATAGGCACCATGATTGTACTGACAACTGGGTAATCTATGGAAATGGACCACTATATATAAGCTCTAGCAGCTCGACATGAGAACCCCTTTTATTCTTCCTTACAAAAATCCACACAAGACATATGATGGTATATTATGTATATATCTATGAACCAACTACCCACATGACTAGCAAGACTCCAGAAACATGCTCAATGTTCCCTTAGATGTAGGTAGGAGGAAAGGGCAATGCTGTGGATAGTGCTCCTTCAAACCTACTTTGCAATGTATCTACAGGGAAACTTGCTAGACTATTCATTAAATGGATATACTTTCTTTCCACCTTGAAAAGCAGGGAATTTGGAACCTGTGAGTGATCATCCTTCCGTGAAAATTTTGGTGGGGAGAAGCAGCCATGTACTACTCCTAACTGCATGTGAAATATGAGGTCCTTATAGAACATAGGCTAGCTTCATATGTCAGAGCTGGATCATATGCATTATTCAATTCTATCTAAGAATGTAGCTGTAACCAGCCATGTCTGAATTTCTCCTTTGGAAAACAGGTTCTTAATGAAGCAATCAACAGCAGTTACACAATCATATTTTTTCCTAGCCCAAGACGAGGCACGTTTTGGGAACAGGAATGATGGGAAAATATAAGTCTTCTAAACTGAGACTCTGGCCTAGCACCCTTTTCTTCTTCACTGTCCTGATTTTAGCCACGAAGAAATTTCAGTATTAATCTTCTACATATGCCACTAACCTTCACCCTGACATCTGAAAGTTCTGTCACTATGAATTAAAAAAAGACACTGCACTCAAAGGAGTTAGGTACAATGACAAATTATGAGTTTAAAAAGGGGGCAAAATGAGAGTATTCTACTGATTCTTATTGACCTAGCCAGGTTTACTATGGTTATAATAACCAGATAAACCTCCTTCTTTCACTAAGGCAAGGGAAAAAAATATTTACCTTTTCAGATGAAAGAAATTATTAGATCAGGCATTTCTTATGCAGTTATAGTTTGCTTCAACATAAATACACTTCTGCAAAATTCAGTAAGCTTGTCACACAAGCAGGAAAATAAACAGAATAGGAAACCTTTTTGCATAATCACTGGGAGAGGCAGTATTTTCACTTCAGAAAAACATCATTGAAATTGCATCTCTAATTACCAAGTCTCTAGAGACTTCAAAGAAATATTTTTCCTTCATTTTAATCCAAACACATAATCTTTGACAGCAACAAATCTCAGCCTATACAAATGAAAGTTCATGACTGTCTTGAATTTCTGCCTTTTCAATCATATCATGCTGAAACCAAATATCTTAGTATCCAGCAGTGCTCATTGCAGTGACAGATTTCAAACTTACTTGCTAGAGATTTTAAATGTCTGTCATTTTCCCCCATCTTTTCATTCATTATCTAGGATCTACATGAACTGCAGCATCTTTACATCACTGACAATAACCTGGATCACATTCCACTGCCCCTCCCTGAAAGCCTCCAAGCTCTTCATCTTCAGGTAGGCTACAGAAGTAATGGCTCTATTTGCCATGTTCAAATAGTAACTAAAACCGGAAAGCGTAGCAATTGTCTTTTTGTTTCTTCTGTTTATCCAAAACTGTACATACTTGACCAAAAAACTATTGGAAACATGCAATTAACTAGTGAAAACAGTATTTGAAAGAAGTAAAATTTGGGTCAACTAAGCATTAATTATTAAAATTTGTAATACAATATTTTTCAAACATAAAATTCTAGATTTACCGTGAGTACAGACTAAAGTCAGGTTCACAGCTGTCAAGAGCAACATTAGTCTAAAAGACTTCAAAGACAGAAATCCTTCACACTGCTCATACAAATCTTCCATCAGGAGTATATTTAGATGCCCAAAGAAAGTTGTTTTACATAGTGCTTGTACCTATATAGACTATGTTTCATTGTTTTTTTAAATACAGGTCATTCACACTTACTAACAAACATCTTTCAGCCAAACTTTTTTATTTGACTATGTAGGAACATTCCATTCATCATCTTTATGTAATTTCTTTTTTTTTTTAATTTGCTTTTACCTAAACCATTGTTTCTGAATTCTTCCTTTTGACCTTTTCCACCTCTGCTTCATTCCCTTTATCTCCTCTTGTACCAATGCCCAATTTTGATTTTCGGAAGTTTTTATATTAAATACAGAAAAATACGTTTGAACAAATAACTTAACGCACCTTACATAATTTGATCTTTATCTTTCAATAAATAAATCTACAGAAATACTCTACCTACGAGCTATTTTTTTCACCTGCGCATGCCTGTAAATTAAATAGTCAGTGCTATGTGCTACAGACTAAAGCTAGTGAGCTCAACTTTTCCACATCAATTTCTGACTATGAAAGGAGTGGAGATGGGAAGAATATTCAGACAGCCCTCATTTTAGGGCATGACCATTTTAGTCTCAATTTTCAGACAATATTGTATTCTAGCAACTCGTTGCTGGAAACGGTTTACTTAAAGAACAAAATCTTGGTGAAGATAAGTTATATGAGAGGAATTTAAAGCAAAGGAATAAAATCTAAAGCATTAAATTTTCCCTGTACATATACAGATGTGGGTTAAGCTAATACGAGAGGATCTGAGGAAAGAAAATTGTCACAGATCAGATTGCAGATTTGTGCCTTTGCAGGTTGAGGCATAACAAGTTGTCAGGATGATAATTATTGGTCTGTGATTTTTGCACTGACCTATGATGGTTCCAATTTGCATTAATAAGTCTCTTCACTATGATATCAGAAATGAAAACACTCTATACTTCTACCAGGCCTCTCCTGCAAAGGCTGTCTCTGCTACATGCTTTGGGTTACTTAGTTTCGAAGCTCTACACTGACCAAGACTTTTAGCCCTGGTTTGGAAGATTTCTCTGTTGATGACTTGCAGCCACAATCTGGTCCCTTGGATTCAAGAAAGTATCTTGTTGGCATTGAAAATACATCCATAAATTGTTCTTCAAAGAGTAAAAAAATACTTTCAGATGACTGTTCTAATCTACTTTATTGTGTTTTTTTTAGAACAACAACATTCAAGAGATGCATGAAGACACTTTCTGCAAAATTAAAGATTTTACTTATGTACGTAGGGCTCTTGAAGACATCAGACTGGATGGTAATCCCATCAACCTGAGCAGAACCCCTTATGCATACATGTGTCTACCCCGTTTGCCAGTTGGCAACCTCATTTAAGCTTTGACAGAAGCCAATATTGTAAACTATAAGAATTTTTAAAGAAAAATTATTAGCTCACTGATACACAAAGGAAGATGTTTTTTTTCCAAATTTCATTAATTTAGTAAATATTTCTATTAATAATGAAATCAATTACTGAGATATAAAGAATAATATTAAATGCTTAAAGACAGCTCCATTATCTACCCAACTGCAAGTTGTATAGCAATATCAAGAAAAATATTTTACTACCAGAACTGTACCAAAGGTAATAAAAGATCAATGTATATGTAACATTTTATGCTGAATTATTCAGATCTAATGTAAAAATTCTAAAGTGAAATATTTTATATGTTAAAATCTATTACATAGTAAATAAAAAATAGAAATAAAATGTGTACACAATTGAATATTTATCCCTTTTCATTTAATTAAATATTTTTTCTCAGAGACTCCTCCACTTTTTGATGTCTTTCCTTAAAGGTCCCTTCATTTTGGAAAAGTGCTAGCAATATGCCAAAAAATGCATTTTCCAAAGCAAACAGAATTTTGTCTTGAATCAGTACTGAAATTTAAAGTTTAAACTTGCATCAGATTATCCCCAAATGCACATGAACTATTTATAGTTTTTTCAGTATTAATTGGTCTGTGTAAAGTGATGAGGCCCAAAGCTATCTTCTGTATCTTTGATAAACTTGCCTACCATATTAGTTGGATACTAAAAGCCTCATGTAAAATAGCCTGTTAGAGAAGTACTGGACTTTATTCTGCATAGGAAGTGGAAAAAATTCCCCTCGACGTATTTACACAGTCACAAAAAATATCGCAGTTCAATAGCCTATGAACCAGAATTCAAATGCTCAAGTCACAAATGTCCTTGTGAAGGCATGGCTCAGTTTCCAGTTATTTGAAACAATTTCACTGAATTTTTCTGCTTTTCTGGTTTTAGAGCTGTGGGAAAATGGGGGAAAATTAGAGACCATCTCCCCCTGGCCCCCCAAAGTTATAACACTAAGGAAATCTTAGGATAAAATGCAGCTGCTTCTCTAAGGGGTGGGATGCAGTTGGTACGCACAGAATCTACCTGGTGATAGTTCCCCAGGCAACCCTGCAATCCTGGCATATACTAAAAGAAACTGAACAGAGTGCGGAGCAAAGTGAAGGCGCTGTGGCCAGGCTCTATTACGCTCCCTTTAGGAGGGGGAACTTGAAGGGACCATTTTTAAAAGCAAAACCAAGAGAATTTTACACCCATCAATAATAAAAATATGTATGAGTAGGGTCACTCAAGCTCCATAAGCATATAGTTAAAAAATTGAAACTTGTGTTATTATGGAAAAACCTAGATAGATGCAAGGGCCTTCTACAAGATCAGAATGAACACTGATGAACAAAGAACTGATAGCGGGAGAGGAGGCTTTACATTATGTAGGTGGACCAAGAAACAGGGCTAACAAATCTCTAATCAGGAAAGACTACCCTTGAAGATTGAAAGACTGGTACACCCTGGAAGCATATGGACATCGTATATATATATATATATGTCAGCAACACATGATTAGGGTGTCCTTTTGATGAAAACAAGGTAACCTTATGTAAACTAACTGACATTCTGTATATGGTGGGAGGGTTACAGGGAGTTACTAACCTGAATCAAATGGTATAAATATGTGAAATTAGGAAAGGAAAAAGGGAAGATTCTATCATAAATTCTGGGATCAGTCAACAGGCTGAATCTGTCTTCTCCCCCATAGGGACATCTATTTGATAAGAATTTTATCTTATGCACATTAAATGACTAACTCATGTTAGCTGTTATGGTCTGGCTATATTCTGGTTATAGTTTGGTTGTGTATCACTTCAAGCTGGTTTGGCAGACAGTATCTCATCACTAGCAATCTCTGAACCTTTTATCCTGTCACAAACTTGTATTTTATATAATTAAAATCTTCAGCTGAAACCCATTATGTGTAAGTCTCAGGAGACTTGAATATTTGAAATAAGGGATTTGATGCAGCGATGTTGTTGATGCAGGTCCCTGGATAGGTTAGACAAATCACCCCCAATTTGGTGCTCTGTCCAATACATGGACACAAAAGGCTGGTTGGGCACAAAGGTGTCGTCTTTCCTGGGACACTATCAGGCTGGTCAAATATAAAGGCTTGGTGGAAACCCCTCTTGGAATGTGACAGTATTAGAGTGTGGGACAAATTGGACAAGAACGTACAAGCTCCCTAACATATCTTGCCCCCTGGCCTGAGGTAACCACCCGCTCCGCAACAAGAACTCTTGCAGTTAAAGATTAGAAAATTACCTCCCTTTTTGGGGTTTGAACAACTCTCCTCCTTTCATGGGTGAGATTTAATACATTTTTCTAGGGAGAAAGTCCCCAGGAGAGTTCCACTAGTTGCAACATGGGTACTTGCAATTCTGTTCTACAGTGACAAGCAGCAAAGAGCACCTGCACATTTTCAGAGATAAAGATTTGATGAATGACTTGAGTCAAAATAATCCCAGTAAAACATAACAAATCCTTCCACTTACACAAGCTGCTATTTGTTTCATATCAAAGTTCGCTTTCATCTAACTGGACATACATGCTTGTTTAAAACCTAAATGCAGCTGACTCACTAAATTTCTCTCAGGTCAGGCAATGGAAACTCCGTTCACAGAGACCACATTCTTTATACCACTACTTCCTAGGATAGAACATGATCCTTTCCTATCCTTTCTAGGATAGGAAACATGAACAGCAGGGTTTATACACAGCAGCCTTAGACAGGCTAAAATCAGAGTTGAAGAAATACAGCAGGTTACAGTGATTGTGCCTTTATGATGATACACTATTATCAATTTGGATGTCTTATTTAAAATCTAGATAGGAAAAAAAAAAAAAACAAAACAAAAAAAAAAAAACAAAAAACAAAAAAAAAAAAAAAAAAAAACAAAACAAATCAAACATAACTGCTGGACCTTTCACTTTGTTTATAATAAAGTCTCATTTTTCAGACACCTGTACAGAAAAACTGCAGAGAAAAAGCTATCTTCATTTTAACATTTCCTTCCAAATACATGAGTTGTTCTTACACACATAACTCTTAGAGCTGAAACAATATTTTGTCTCCATCTGCTAGTTCTAATAGGAATTGAAAGGTCAACGATTTTTAAAAACCCCTTCCAAGCTACAGACTTTGTTTCAGTCCTTAAATCTGGCACTGTGTTTAGTGGTCAACAGGATGATATGAAGTATATCCTTAAATACACACAATCTACAGTGCTTTATTCTGTATCCATTTTGTCTTGCCTTTGGGAGTCAGTTTTCCTGTTCTGTCAATCTATATGTAAATAACAAGCTTTATATTGTTTTGTCAATCAAAAATAATATTGAGAAGGAAAACTTTATTTGTTCTATTGGGCTGTTCTTTTCTTTGAAAACTCTGTCTCTGTCAATATGGTGCACTGATAATAGACTGCCTATAGAAGATTATGGTACATACACATCACTTTCTCAGTACCAGCCAGAGCTTGCACCCTCCATCACTTTCTGTGCATTCACATTGCTTGAGCATGTGCCTATGATGTTCAGACCCATGCTTTGGGCAGGCTTTGGGGCACAATCTGAAAAACCATGATTCTGTGTTGAGTTTAAATGTCTATGCACTCATATCCCCAATATAGAGACAAGTTGAACAGTGGCTAATCTACAGCCATTTCACCCCTAATGTTAATACATTTCAGAACTCCCGCAGATGTGGCCAGTGTCATGCAGACAAGTTTATTCCTAAAACAGAATTAATGCTGCACTGTAAATTTATCTCCAAAGACTTCCAAAGAGAACTAGCAAGTCAAGTTCACATAGTTAACATAGGTGCAGACACTGCCTGACAGTCCAGTTCAAGTAAAGTCCCAGTGCTGAGCAGGTAAGCAGAATTTTTCAGAACTGGCTGTAACCATGAAGTTAAACCAACAGTATACATAACCCAGCAATATATTTAAGAGAATGGTCAGGAAAAAAAACACAACTGATCCTGAGGAAACATAAAAAAAACCCCGAACAAACAAACAAACAAAACCAAACAACATTTTGTAGTAACCTAATTAACCTGAATATTAGATTCCTACAGAATAGGGATGTTTTCATACCAATTAGTTTCATTTCATTACCTATAAAATGCTTTTATGAATGTCAACCTCCACCATTTACTTCACACCCTAATTGTCAAGTTCCTTCCCCTCCAGCAAATGCAAGTGAAAGTAAAAGATTTCCTAGGTTTGAATGAGTGACTTGTCCACGAAGGCTGAGAAAATGGGTAAATATGAACCCTTTTGAAAGGTGACAGAATATAGTGCAATAAGTTAAATCAGCACCAAAGCTCTTGTGCAGATGCCAAGCACCACGCCACCATGGTGATGGATTTGCTTCTCATACAACATCTGTTTCAAGGAAGATTCATATCAGTCAGAGAGGGCAACCTTATTATTTATGGTGCTATTTATATTATGCATATAAATTATACAAAAGAATGTTCACATAACTGACTCCTAAGCATATCCTATGGTAATATATGGTATTTGAAGATGGTTTTTCAAGCTACTCACAGATAAGGACAGTGAGGAAAAGGCATGCTGCAAAAAAAGGAGAAATTTCTGCGGTAAATAAAAATCAACTCTTTTATTCCAGAAGTCAAGAAATAGTAAATGGAACATAATCTCTCTAAAGTTTGTCTTGGAAGAAAGCTCCAAAACCACAGTCGGGAGCTTGATCCCCTCAATGTGAAGTCAATATGAAATTTCACCAAAAGAAGAAGTTGTACCAAAACCGCACAAAAGGAAAACCAGACAAAACCTCCTACGATATGTCCTTTGGTCAGAAATGTCATGTCTGGCATACATGAAAAATAGAAAGAGCACTGGAAATGCAGAAACTAGAAAAGTCTATTCTTGCTGGCTTTCGTTCCGAATGTCTGTGAAGACTCCTGTGGGATATTATCAAGGCCATGAACCATAAGTGTAGCTGTCATTTTCAACTTATTTTTGTGAGAGATAAGCCTTTAGAAATTTTCTATTCAAGTTATCTTTACACTACTTTCACAAAGTGAATGTGCATGGACCTGATTGATTTTAGCAAAACACAACTAAAACCAGAAAAAGCTGTAATGGAAAAAACTAAGCATTAAAGACTGCACCCGGTCCTGTGCTAGTACTATAAACTTCTT